CACGCTGAATATCTCCGATCGTGTCCCGTTAAACACTGATGCACTGTGTGAGGTTAATTTGCATCCAGGGTTCTGATTGAGACTAGATATTTATTGCTTCGTGAACAAGGCATCTCATCCTATGCTTTTTGAGATGTGCCCTCTTTGCGTAGACCCTTTAATTGATCGATTATGCGCCTCATTGTGGATTCCATTGATGTGTGTGTGTGCGTGTGTGTGTGTGTGTGTGTGGAGCAAAAGAGGTAATTGATAAAGTTATCTGAAGCCAATCTTCCTCCCGTTTTTTCCATTCGCTCACTCCATCCTAAATAAAATTCTTTCTTTATTCGTTTCCTTCTTTTGATTGAATATATCACCATGCACACACAGTCGTCAGGATTGGAAAGCGACCAATCACACGGCCATCTTGTGATGCAAAGGAACTGGTTTGTCTTAGGATGCGAATACTCACTACCTCCGCGGCAGTAAATGGGTAACCTTAGCCGTTTGACTGCTTTTTCTGTTCGTTGCAATTCATTTCAAATGAATCACAGCTGACCGGGACGGAGAGTTAAAAAAGCAAGGTAGATTCAGCCTTGGTTGGTACAAATAGCAGTGTGAATCCACGGACTAATCAACGGGGTTATCAAATTTTGGCGTGAACAACATAAGCTCGGGCGTATCGCCCACCTGATCGCCAGGTGGCACAAAACCTACCGGCCGTTCAGTTCCCTGTCATTGTGTACTCCGTATGACCAAACCTATACAATTATGTCAGAATGTAACTGTAGGACTAAGCCACTCGATTTTATAAGCACCAAGCACTGTAGGTTTCTTTTCCTTGAGCATCTGTGTTGGTTAAAATCCTTGAAAGTAATTGGATCGCACGTGACTTTATTCACCTGTTCGTTACAATTGCATTTATGTTGGAAAAACAATGGATGAGTACGGTGGTGGGTAAGTGGTTCAGACCTCAAGTTTGCAATGCATTGATTTACGCAGCGCACTTTATTTTTTAATGACTGACAAATTGTACATGTCACTTATCATTTCGACTGTTCAACAATACCCTCCAGTTGTGAATCGAAATCATCATTTAATAGTTCATACTCTAAAGAGTATATATATATATATATAACAGGCTCACATATATAGTTTCAAAGTGGTCATTGGGTTAACAAGAATGACTGAAATAGAAGAAAAACAATCGATTTCGGATGAGGGTCGAATTCAACATATGGTGAAAGTTACACGGTTTCCAAAAAGATCCTTGTTACTGTTTTGGCGTTCATCATGTGTGTTCAAAACGGATACTTTTCCAACTTAGCGATCAAATTGAACCTGGGGGCGTGGATGTATATGTTCCCCATTTTGTAGTCACTTCGGCCGTTCCTTTGAAAAGTGTCATAACCGCGCAGCGAACTGGTCGTTCTTTTGCTCGATATTCCAAAAAAAAAGGCAGTTGAATTTACCGTTTGGCTGAAATATCAAGTGCTGTGGTTATCTGTTTGGTTTCCACATAAATCATTTCATTGGGTCATTGTTCGTCTGGTAGCCATTTTTGAACAAATAAAGTTCACTTCGAGAAATGTCAGTTAACCCAATAATCATTTGGTGATACTCAGGATGGGGTGAATCTATTTGGTGAAGCAAATTATCACACACTGTTCCGCTTACTTTTGAACTGAATTGCATACCCAGCCAGGTAAGTTTTTCGGCTCCACTCTGTGCATCAGAGCTTAACAAACTACAACTCAGTTTCACATTCTGCCGCTGCTACGTGACTCAGTATTAGATCTATGAAATCTTCTTGGTATTGTACCCGACCGAGGTTGCTAGTCCTGATGATTATGAGGTTCCGTCATGTTTCGGTGTTTTAAATACGACCTTCCGGATCCAAGCGTCCCGTCAATATCCTGCCCACCCAAGAACAATTCGTGAAGTCATTTAACCCATCATGGCCCTCCACCTCCCATCCTCATCCACTCGCTCCCAGTCCCACCCTAAATCACGCAAGTAACGCAAACCAATGGTAGGATCAGCCATCTTCGGTTTTGTGAAACGGAGACTGAAAACAACAACAATAATAACAACAACAAAAATCCCCATTAATTTCATTTCCTCTTTCCATACAAAATGACGTTATATGAAATATGACGTGTAGCCAGTTGATGAGTCAGCGAAAATAAGCTTGTTCAATCAATGTGTGCCTGTGGTGTATTCCGGGCTTACTAAATCTTTCGTGGCTTGCACCTATGTTTGCGAAATATAAAACCAAGTTGATCATCACACCTGACATGCTTCATGAGTCCTGCGCGCGTTTTTAACTTGTTTCAGTAGAACCGCTTCCAAATTCTTTTGGATTGATTGTCAAACCTGAGTATATGTTGATCAATGTGCTATTTTCAGTCCTGCATATTTTCAATGTTTTTTTCCGACTCCTTACCTTGTCGACTGGCGGCGAATGAATGCAGAAATACAACTGCGGTTATCACTACTCTTCGTTAACTCATATAGTGCCAGACACACGTGTGTTCAGAGCAATCCACTTCAGCTGTAAAAGAAAACACTGCCTGTTTATCGTTCACTATCATCAATGTACTTGAGAAATCCCTGCTGTACATTGTTTACGCGTGTCGAGAAGAATATTTTGGCGCTCGCCGCGTGAATTGTTCCTTCACAGTCACCCGTCGATTCTGGGATTTGGTTTCTCGTCGTATTTAGCCGTCAGTTAAAATATCGAACTGGACTGGTCAGATCGCAGAGAACAGTGTTGGCCTTATCCAAAGGGTCAGACAAAACGCCCGTTCATACGCGCACCAGTGACATGCCCCATTGCGGTTTAGGGAACTGAAACTGGCATTTCTCATAATAAATTCGAGAAGTGAATCCATCTTGGCACGATTTATGTCCTGGACTATTTGTCTGCATTTCAACTAGTGCCTACTGCAGACAAATACAATGGCTATGAAGGGGTTTGGGAATAGATTACAAAATAAACAGACGTAAATGAAAGGAAAGGCGAAAAAAATTGGTCTTCATCGTCTGATTACAATCACTTTGGCGATCTTGATCATTCTGGTATTATGTTTAATATAATGAAATGATTGCTGTTGTTCAACTAGGTGTTACGTCATCCACAAAGGCTGGGCTGCTGAAGAGTTTGGTGTTTTTTTATGCATGATCCTTGCCAGGAATCAGCTGTGTGGACTTTGACATATCAGCCTTGAGTTGATCCCGGTCCGGAATTGGTTCTAAAACTCGATTATCTTTATGCCTTTTGTTTTACCCATGTTAGTGTCGTCCAAGACATAAATCGCGCAATGTTGCTTTCTACTAGCTTCTCTTTTCAGGTTTGGGGAATTTTATGGTAATGGTTTGAGCGTTCTTAGATGATAACAAATGTGGCTGTCTTCGAAGCATTTCTAGAGTGCGGTATTCTTGCAGACTGTCTGTTATTGTTGGTAGCGATCAGTGAAGCTTGCTTCACTTTATCTTGCTGTGCACTGATGATGATGACGACGTGTGTGTGTGTGTGTGTGTGTGTGTGTGTGTGTGTGTGTGTGTGTGTGTGTACTTCATCCTGGCCTCTGTTCATGTGTTACGCCGAACGAATGAGTATGAGCATACGCTTAGGGAACTGAGCTATGCATTCGCTGAACAAGCAAGAGATCGAACTAAGCAGTCAAGGGTGACTCAGCTGTTCATAGCGTATTTATTCTAGGCATATTTTGTTCAAGTACCGACATTTTCATCACCATACCCCTTTACGAACCAAAGGCTTATAAATTGCGAAGCAAAAACCGGTGTCATCCACTGTATCGTATTGGCTGCCTCTGCATCTCGGTG